AAAAAAAGAAAAGATAAATATCAGAGAGCAAAAAGATTGCTAATAGGTTTTTTAAAACTCATTTTTTAATAATCAATTATACAAATGTTGATAATCTAAAGGAGTCAAGCTATTTAGTCTTTCTCTAAAATTCCCACTAGTAGTCTTCTCTTTTATTCCTTTTTTCTCTAAAATTTTATCCAACTCCTCCAAGAACTTTGTTTGCCTCTCTTTATTATCCGCAGTCTTTTGTCTAAACAAATTAATCAAACTTTCTACTTGCTGAGTAGTAATAGTTTGACGAGGAGGCAATTTAGTAGCCTCTTCCCGTTTCTCCTCCCCGGGACTATAATCCGGATCCCCTTCATCCTTCACCGGCATTAAAAATAATTTACTTAAAAAATATTTAGTAGCATAAGTTTCAGCTGAACCTTTAGCCTTAGCCGGGTCTTGATTCAATCCTGGAGCTCAAAAATAGAAGACTAATTGTTCTTCTGGCTGTTCCCCATTAATTATCAAACATTTTTTACCATATTTAACTAAATACATATTCCCTACTTGTTCACAACTGAATTCTTTAGTTTCATCATCACTTAGTAAAATGATTAGGTGGTATTTTTCTAAGAGGGGTTTTAATAGGTTGAGGACTTGTAGTTCGTTGAAGAATTTATATTTTTGGAATTTATTTTCTTCAGTGCGGATGAGTTCTTTGATTTGAGATTGGATTAGGTGGAGTTTTTGGTGGATGTTAAGATCATTTGAAGTTTTTTGGTCTTTTTCTTTTGATAGTTTTGCATTCATATTATTAAATTAATTTCTGATTTTTAGTCTCACAATTTTATACCTTCCGCCAACTAGTTTTGCTAATTTTTTTCTCATAAAAAGTTTCTACTCACTGCAACTGTCGATCGCTTTTATTCCAAACTAGTTTATAATATTTTTGGCGAAACTCTTTTCATTTATTAGTAATTCCACGATTATCCTCATATTCTACTTCTCATTCTTCTAATTTAGTTTTTCTTTGCCTATCCAGCAATCTTTTTGCTCTCTGATATTTATCTTTTCTTTTTTTTTGAATATATTTATTGTAACCTTTGCGACGCTCTTGTTCAGATTGTCAGGCTACCTTACCTAACTTTTTACCGTATTTTTTAATTAAATCTTCTTCAGTAGTTTTTCACTTTACCGAACCCGTTTTTCTTTGGTGAAAATAATCATTGACTTCTTTATACTCCTTCCTCCGTTGTTTTTCCCCCGCTCGCTCTATCTCTTTGGTCCCTAACTTGCGATAACGTCAGTTAACCAAGAGTAATAAGTGTTAAATATATATATATAAGTAGAATAACGCATTTGGCTTTCTGCTTATATACAGTTCACCGAGAGAGAGAGAGAGAGAGCAGTCCAAGAAGTTAACAGAGTTTCAAAAGATTTCTCTTTTCCCTCCTCTTTCTCAAATATTTTCTAGGTTTTTGGTCGAAATAAATAACTTAGAAAATATTTTGCTAGTAATTAATCGTTCGGCAATTTTACTTATTTTTACCATGATTTTTAAATACAATTAGGAGTTAGTTCAGCACTCCTTTTAGAAGTGGCAGGAATAGTCGCCAGCGTTTGGTAATACTCTCTTACTTTTCTTTCACATCACATCCTCCGCAAGGGAAAATTAACAATTTGCAAATATTTAGGA